ACCTGTTGCAAGGCTTTCCAGGGAATGTGACGGCAGTTTCTGAGATTGAGGCACTCCCACCTATCAGCCAACGAGACGGGAGCAGCGTTGTTTGGACGCCGAAGCGTGAGTTTGAAAGGCAAAACAAATGCCTGAGCACACACATACACATGCCAAACACAAAACATTACACAATACACACAGAACACCACCCAAGCCACCACGCATGTACCACCACACACGCACACGTGCACATAACACCGGACAACACACGCATGCACGCACACAACAGGTGATGGTGTGATGAGTACCGTGCATAGGCCCAGCGGCGACAGACGCGCGCGGCCTTTGCGAGGGATGGCGTGTCCAGGGACGAAAAGATCATCTCAACCATGCACTCGTCCTGGTGTTGTTCAGTTCCGTGATAAAATTACAAGGAGGGCGAGCGAGTGAGGAAAAAGATGAGCAGTGGCACAAGCAGCCTCCTCGGGCAGGTGTGCGACGACTTTTAAAGGCACCAAGATGAACCAAGACAAGAGCATACATTTACACAGGCACACACACACACACGCCTCACGTTGAGGACGATGGTGCGAGCGTCGCTGAGGTCGAAGTCAAGGTCTGTTTCTTCGCCATGGGTGTGCTCGGCCTTGGAGCGGAGTTGGGACAGGGCCATTGACACGTCATCCCCGTGATACCTGCCCTGCCCATCTGCAACACCGGCGCCACTGCTGACGCTGCTGGTTCTGCTGCTGCTGCTGCTGCTGCTGCTGCTGCCCGATGAGTGCGAGCGTCGGCGAAGGCTGGGACGCTTGGACCAGGCAGAGGAGATGGCGCGACGCATGCGCCTGCTCGCGGCGCCGCCCCTGCCAATGAGGGTGGCACTCGTCTCGTTTGCACCAAGCATTCCTGTACGTGTTTGCGCGTGTGAGAAGGTAAAGTGTGAGAAGCGGGCAACAGAATATGCGGGCAATCAAGTGTGTGTGTGTGTGTGTGTGTGTGTGTGTGTGTGTGTGTGTGTGTGTGTGTGTGTGTGTGTGTGTGTGTGTGTGTGTGTGTGTGTATGGGTGATGGGGATGAAGAAAGAAGGAGGGACGTCGAGCAGGTTTGTGTGCCTGAGTGTGCATGTGCTCGTGCAGATACAGACACAGGATGCAAGACGGCGCGCGCGCACGTCATGTAATGACAAACAGAATCAGACCCCTACCACACACTTTCATCACCACACACACAACACAGCAACAAACGCCAACACAGCAAAGCAGTGCACAAGAGAAAAGCAGTGACGGGGAATACAGCATGTACTTACGGACTGCTGTGGGCACGGGGTGGGAACAAATGAGCGACATGCTGCGACGGCAAGAGCACCCGCTGGTTGTTTGCTTGCTTGCTTGCTTTCACTCTTGCTGCTGCTTGGTTGGTTTCGTCTTGAATTGGGTGCGCGAACGAAAGGTTGATTGGTGCTGCTGCTGCTGATGATGATGAAGACGGTGGTGGCGGCGGACGGATGCAGGCTGGGTGGGCTGGAATTCGGGTTGGAGTTGCTATAACCGTCGTGACGTGACGTTCCAGGGATGCTGAGGCGCGCGCTGTGTTGTTTGCCTCACACTCACATCACAAACAACGGCAACAAACAGCAACAACCAGCCGCCACTGGCCTTTGAAGGTGTTTGGGTTTGGGTGTGGGTTTGGGTGGGATTGTTGTGCGCGAGCGACAGCAAGAGGAAGAAGAGCGCAAACGCCCGTTGTGCTCGTGCGTAAGAGCGGGTGTGCGGGTGCGCGGGTGTGAAAGTGCGTACTGAGGAATGAAACCGAAACGGCCAACTCAGAGCAGCCAAGGTGGGTGCGCCAACGTTGATGCGGAGGTGCGGCGTGTGTAAGACAATGTTATTACACTTAACTGTGCTGTGTACAGCGGTTCTCTCATGATGTGATGTCTTCAACACCACGCCTTGCCCCAGCACAACCGCCATCCAGCCCACCATGGATAGGGATGGGTCTTGTTCACGTCGCACGTGCGGCAACCCAGCCAGCCATCGCTGCAGCAACGCGCCTCACCCACCCACAAACCGACCGCATTCATCCAAACCGCGCACGGCCAAACAAACACAAACAAAAAGGCAAGAGCAAAACCGTTACGTGTTGACGTCTCCGCTGCCTCGTTCATGATTCGTTGGTCAGGTGATGCCTTTATATGTCGTGTCGTACCATTGCCGTACTGACTTCAGTCTCCTCGCCTCAAATTTTGCTGACATCAGCTGTTGTGGGCGTCTGGGGATTCTGCGTCGCGAAGTGTGTTGCGAAGCACTTCATGAAGAGTCCGTTTGGTTGGCGAGAGGAAGTGATGACAGCGCATGCACGCTGCACACTTGGATGGCGTGCGGCTCTGTTGACTCTGGTGATCTTTCTGTTCTCATCGCGTGTGCCAAGTCCTGGCTGGGTGTTCTTCACTCCATCGTTGCTCGCCCGCCTTCTTGTTGCGTCCCTCTATTCGTCTGATCCGTAAGAAGTCCTCGCATCATGTAGCATCTCGGCCTTTTGATCTGTGGTTGTTGTCTCCCTGGTTGCGTCCATCTTGCCGCTCAGCCGCACACTGCGCGATTCACCACCATCTTCGTTTGCATTTTCCATCACCCGATATGCAATAACAGCATCCAAACAGCCCCCACCGCATACAAACCCCCCCCCCCCTCACATCGCTTCTTCTGATATCACGCCTTCTTCCGTGCACATTCACACACCTCCTCACGTAACAACAACCCCTGCTGGGTATTGACACGTACCATGAGTGCAGTCGCCAAGGCAGCAACAAACACGAGCGCGCCCGAGAGCAAGATCAGCAGCACAGGAAGCACAGCGCCAGGCCAGGACCAGCCCCACCGTCAGAAGCACACCAAACCCCGCCAAACACAGCGCACACAAGTACAGAGTCAGCCGACCGCCACTGCCTCCACACAGCACTCGCAGTTGCCTCAGCAGCAGCGGCTGCGGCTTCACCAGGCCCACCCTTCAACAACAACAACAACAACAACAACAGCAGCAGCAGCAGCAGCAGCAACAACAGCAGCAGCTAACGACTTGTTCGATCCAACAGCTCTCAACCAGCTCATCCAGGAATATCAGCAGGAACAGCTGCAGCACTTTCTACTCCCGCACACGTTTCCACCCTACTTGCAACCACCCCCAACGTTCGGTATGAGCAACGGCCCACCACCAGTCATGCCCACAACAGCCGGCGTCATGGGCTCAGCCGAGACGAAGGCTGGCCCTGATCAACCGCGCGACAAGGCCAGTCCCGCCGTCACCACGGGTGTTGTTTCCACCATTCCTGGCACTGCGGGTGTTGTGAGCAGACGCAAACCCAAGAATGGCTCAGGCATGGACATGGCCATACCATCGACACACCCAGGCCTATCTGCTGTCACGCTTGCGCCTGGCCTTCCCCTCGGCATGCCTGCCATGGCTGCGACATCGGCAACCATGCCACCTCTGCCACACTTCACAGCCGCTTCATCCGACCCATCCGTGTCCATGATGATGGACCCACGCGCCCAGTTCAACCCAGCATACGCCGCCTCCCTTTACAACCCAATGCTCAGGCAACAGGCTGCCATGCTCCAACAACAGCAGCAGCAACTGCAGCAGATTCAACATCTGCAACAGCAGCAGCAACTCCAACAACAACAACAACAACAACAACAACAACAACAACAACAACAGCCAATGTCGCAACCACTTTCCAAGTCGCAGCCCGTGCAGCAGAAGATGTCCGCCGCACGTATCTCCCAGAAACAGCAACAGAAACAGCAGCGACTCCAACAACAGTCTGTGGCAGCAACCACGCCAAAACCAACGACCGTCTCCAAGCCTGCCCCAGCGACCAAGATGCCCAACCTGCAACCTCAACAGCAGGCTTCAAAGCGCGCCAAACTCGAGCCAGGTGTGTCTCTGCAACATTCTTGACAAGGGGTGATCACAGGGAGCCGGTGCTCGACGGTAGTAGTGATGTGGCCGCACTGGCGAGATGCCTGTCTGTCTGTCTGCAGGGGTTTGTGCACCATGTGTCGTGTGCCATCGACGCACAAATTCACTTGCGACAAACAAAACGCACGCACGCACGCACGCACGCACCTTTACACACATGCACATGTGTTTCCACGTGCATCGATGTATGTGATCGTATCCTCACTCACCCCTCCTCGTGCTGTCTTTGTTGCAGGCGCACCTTCTCGCGCGTCATCGGCCGAGCACCCCGCCCTGTCTGGCAAGCCGTCCGCTGCTGCACCAGAGGGTGTTACTCGCCTCTCGCCACGGTTAGTCAGAGCGTGCGATGTTTTGCTCGGTCCTTGGCAAAGCTAAGGTCTACGCGGCCTGCAGGCGGTGTCACGATGCTGTGTTGTTAGGAGAGGTGCGGGTGTGACGCCACGTCGTAATGCAAGTCATCGTTAACCTGGATGTGCTTCAAGTGTAAACAATGCTTCTGAACGCCTGCTCACGTGCACCCACCAATTTTTGTCGCGCAATTTAACACCGCAGGGACAAGCAGGAGATCATCGCGATGGCTTCCGCATCTGCGGCGCTCAACGCGTCCAATTACGCCACTAGTGTGTGCCAGAAGCTGTTGACAGAGATGTCGTCTCGCCTTGCTCGAGCAGCCGCCACGAGCAGTGGAGACAGCAACGATGCCAGCACCCAGGCACTTGGTCTCGCCGGCCAAATCATTCGCGTACGTCATTGGTGGTGTTGTTCTTGTTGTTCTTGTTGTATCAGGTGATGCATGCTCACACAGGGCTTGCCATCTGCCAACTACGAATCACACCAAATCTGCCACCTCTGTGACTCACACCATCTCTCATGTGCATTGACTGGTGCAGTTGAACGTGGGCGGCACGGTGTTTGCCACCACACAGTCCACCCTCAACCGTGTTCCCGGCAGTCTTCTCTCCCTCATCGCCATTCCCAATGCACCTGTAAGTTCATCAAGTCTGTCGTGCGTGACACACAACCGTGCGTTCTCATGTTACTCCCTTTCCTGTCCACAGCTCAACGCCGAGAAACACACATTTGGCAGTAGTATCTGCTTGCCCCCACTCCAACACACGACCACGCTCACACTTTCACTCACACACACACACACACACACACACACACACACACACACACACACACACGCACACACACACATGTGACACTTTCCCTTCTCGCCCCCCCCCCCAACACCCCTTTTGGCTCCTTGCCTGCCTCCTTGTGAAGGTTGCGCGCGATCCGGAGGGAAACCCCTTCCTCGACCGAAACCCGCGGTGGTTCCAGCTCATTCTGGACGCTCTTCGCGAGCCAAACTACCCACCCAACCTCCCACTCGGCAACCCGCACTTCCAGCGCGAACTCGAGTACTACGGTCTCCTCCACGTGTTTGTGGCGCCAGAACAGTATTGCATCACGCCGCTTGCTCTCGCCGGGCCCACCCACCCGCTCAAACCGCAACGCGAGCACAAGCAGCTCACCCACGGCAACGGCGACAGCAATACCAACAGCAACAGCGATGCCGACGGTGCCACGCGTGCACTGGAGGCGGGCCCAAGCTCTGCTGCGTCAACCGACGATGACGTGCAGGAAATCACTTCAACGGCACTGGCCAAGGTGGGCGCACCGTCCACTCACAGCGGCAGCAACTCGCTCGTGCGGGCATCACCAAGCATCGCCCCTTCAACACGCACGACAGCAGTGGGCGGCTTGACCGGCAGCGACGCGTCCCTGGAGAAGCTGGTTGTGGTTGGTGGCTTTGACGACACAGCACCCTATAAGTACCTGCGCACGGCCGAGGCGTACAACCCCGACACAGACGAGTGGGAGCCGCTCAGCGACATGTTCTGGGACCGCTCGCACTCTGGCGTGCTCACACACGGCCACAACCTGTATGTGCTTGGCGGCCGCAACGAGCGCCCCGATGGCGTGGTTGGCAACTTCAACGCGTCGCGGCAGACGTGGCAGGAGGCTGTCGACATGCTGCTGCCCGTGTCCGTGTTTGCGGCCGGGTTTGCCGTCGTGCGCGGGAAGATGTTGCTGATTGGCGGCTGTTACGAGGCTGGCAGCGACGGGAAGGCGGAGCGCGTGTCGAACCGCGTGTTCGAGTACCCTCTCGACCCTGCCCGCCACTTCTCGTCCAACATCAAGGCGCAGTGGACGCAGGCGTCGGCCAACCTGTCCACCGCCCGCGGCCGCCACCAGTGCGCCGTGCTGCGCGGAAAGGTGTATGCGATTGGGGGCGTCGACGCGTTTGGGCAGGTGCTCAGCAGCGTGGAGCGGTACGATGCAGCCACGGACAAGTGGGTGGAGGTTGCACCCCTGCCGCTGCCGCGCCGCGACTTTGGGTGTACGGTTGCTGATGGCTGCATCTTTGTGATTGGTGGCGCCGACACGAGGGTCGGCCAGCGGTCCGGGCCCGTGTGTCTCAACACGGTGTTCTGCTACACGCCGGCGACCAACACGTGGGAAGAGCTGCCCTCCATGCAGCACTCGCGCCAGGGCCTCACGTGCTCGCTGCTTGGTGGAAAGATTTATGCCATTGGCGGCAGCCAGACGGATGAGTCACACAAGGGGCACACCGCCAACAGGCTCAAGGTTGTGGAGCGTTTTGACATCAACACGCAGACGTGGGAGCCTGTGGCAGACATGACGGCCCGCCGCGCCTACCCAGGCTCCGGTGTTGTTCAGTCCATGGGCGCATGATGCCGGTGATGATGATGATGATGATGATGATGATGATGATGATGATGATGATGATGATGATGATGATAAAAGTGGTTTTTGTCTGTGGTGGTGCTGTCGATGATGTTGGTGGTGATGATTCAGCCGTGATTTATCTCTCTGACGTGACACGTGCAAAGGAACACAATTCTACAACTGGTTTACGCCCTGATTGCCAGGCTGTATTTGCTCCCCTCTCCCCTTGTGCATCACCAAGTTATTCTCGCATTCTGACGTGGTGCTTGCAGCCACCGAGTGGGTATGTGCCCCTTTTCATATTCATGTTTCTCTCCTCCTCCTTCCCCCATTGCGTGTTCAGTTGAGCCATTCAGTCTTGTGGCTTGTTTATGTGTGTGCCGTGCAACAGCTGAACTGTTTGCGGAGAGACTGCGTTTGTAACACCATCACGATTACATTCCACATATAACGAGCAACTTGCGGCCAGAACGTGTTGAAACCTTCCTTGTGGTGAGGGTTGTGACAATCGAAGCCCAGTGCAGGCCAAGCAAGCACGGACATGTGATGTGATGCACACGCTGCTGTGCGTTTCGTGCACACAACAGTACAGGGTGAACACAGCCGCACTCAAGTCAAATGGGAACGAGCGGTGGATGTGCATGTGGGGACGCTCAAAAGTTGGATGTGGCGACTGCAGCAAACACAGTGCGGCAGCTTGGTCCCTCGCACCCGTGCAGCATGGCTGTCTCAAACAACAGGCCGAGGTGCGTGGCATTGTTGTTGGGGAGCAGCGACAGACATGAGTACGCAAACGCACCCGCATACACCGTACGTTGTTTGTCCCAATGAATGCCGTCTAATGTGGGAAATACATGTGTGGGTGTGGGTGTGGGTGTGAAGGTAGGAACAGAATCTCAACAACCAAGCACGCGCGACGCAGTACAACCTCCACCACAATGTGTCACCAAGCTGAAAAAGCTGTCAAGGGATTGACAACGCGAGAGTTGTGTGTGACAGCAGTACTGTCAGTTAACCTGATGATTGGCGAAGAACGCCATTCACACGCTCGGATGTGGACGCTGGGTTGACAAAGTACACCTGGTAGTTGTGGCGAAATGGAACGAGAAGAGGAGGGTGGGAGTTAACGCGACAACGATCGATGCTGACAGCGTGACCGCGTGTCGTGACCCCCACATGGCATATGCAATCACAAAGGACTTGCGAGCACAAACATGTGCACACGCAACAAAACACATGAGCACTGCACACATGAAAAAACACATGAGCACACACCTTGTTGTCGTTGCCGGTGAGGATGGTCGCCTGACAAACGGGCGAGATGAGCTGCGGCGCAAATGACACCGGGCCAAATGTCGTGCCGCCATCATCACTGACAAGACATCAATGCGTTTGTGTGTGTGTGAGTGTGTGTGTGTGTAAGCGTGTGTGTGTGTGTGTGTGTGTGTGTGTCAGGTTGGCGACAAAGCAGGACAGACCACCGCAGTAAACGGACAAACAGCAAACGCAACGGACAGCAATAATCAGCAGCACCGTGTGCACCTGATGGCAACGCCGCGACAGGAGCACTTGTTGATGTGGTTGTTGCGCATATTCGCAAGCACACGCCCATCAGGCAACTCCACAAGCTGCGCCTTCTCGGCAAACACCACAAGAAAGAAGAAGAAGAGAAAGAAACAAGTAGTGCACGGTGAATCATCGCAACGTGGAACGGTCCGAAAACACCTAAAACACGGCCTGCCATCCCCCCCCCCACACACACACACACACACACACACACACACACACACCTCGTCCATGTGGGTAAAGTTGGTCTGCGCGAGGGAATACATGTGCCCGCCGTCATCACTGAACCAGACGGAATCAAACTGATATGCGCCATGGTGGCCGATGAACAGCAACCGACCTGCGTGGCCAGACACATTGCTCCTAACCAGCACATAAAGGTGTGTGGGTGTATAAGTAAATGCGTGTTCGTGGATTGTGAGCATGTATGCATGTACGTGTGTGTGTGCATGTGTGTGTGCATGTGCGTGTCTGTTGTGAAGAGAATGCACTTCACGTAAGCGTGCTCATCAGTGCAGCGAGGACAGTGAAAAGCGCTGCATGGCACTGACAATAAGTATATGGCTGTAACTGACTTGAGCTGGAGACCAACGCCTGGGCCGACATCGGACGGCGCTGCGCCGCCGAGGAACGCATCAAGATGCACTATCGTCGTGACGGTAGGTGACAATCGGTTTTGATTGGATAATTGGTGACCGTTGGTGACAGTTGGTGGTGATTGGTGATGTTTGTGATTTGGCCATTTGTGATAGGCACGCAGTGTGGCACATGGGTAGGAGATTGGTTGATGCTGTGGAGTGTGAGTACATGTTCATGTGTGTGGTGGACGTACGTGGTGTGGACCAGGTGTTGCCGTTGTCAAACGACACGACTTGCAGATTGGATGCCGGCTGCAACTGAATGTAGTTGAGAACCGTCTGGTTGTGAACAGTGTCAAACACGGCTGTTGGCTGTGCGGCGTTGCGAAGAATCACCTGACAGGACAGAGACAGAGACAGAGACAGAGACAGAGACAGAGACAGAGACAGAGACAGAGAGAGGGGAGTCGGGATGTGCGGATGAGATGCAAGGGTGTCTGTGTCGGTGTTTGTGTCTATCGTGTGCGGAGCTTTCAGTGTGGCTGCATATGTCTGTATCTCCGTGTGTGAATTCGTGCATGCAATCAAGGACGCAAAGGCGATTTGAGGGCGTATGCATGACTAGACCACCGCGGTTACCTTCAGCGGGGACCAGGTGTGTCCGCTGTCTCTTGATCGCTTCATACAGATGTCACGGTTCGAGTTCTCGGCGTGCACCCCTGTTGGCTCGCAGCCATCACCAGTCCAATTACGGCACTGACGCAGTTGGTGGTGATGGTGGTGGTGGTGCGTGTGAGGTGATGGTGGTGATGGTGATGGTGGTGCGTGTGAGGTGATGGTGGTGATGGTGATGGTGGTGCGTGTGAGGTGATGGTGGTGATGGTGATGGTGGTGCGTGTGAGGTGATGGTGGTGATGGTGATGGTGGTGCGTGTGAGGTGATGGAGGTGATGGTGATGGGGGGGCGTGTGGGGGGATGCGGGCTGTTGATGTTGTTCTTGCGTGTTTCCTGATCGTGTTAACGGGGCTGGGGGTGTGTTGCAGTCCTCGCCCCCCACACCATTCGCCCCCTCCGTTCACCTGAAGTTTGTGACGGCGCCCTCTTCACTTCGCTTCCGTTCCCGCTTCATCTTTATTTATGCTTCTGTTAGCTTT